TAATGGTAAAAGAAGAACATAATTTGATTTCTAGGGTAAGTTAAACCTAAAGAATCAAAAAGTAGGAAAAAGGAGTAGATCTGAAGTACTTTTTTTCTTTTTTTTTTTTTCTTTTTTTTTTTTTTTCTCCAAAGAGTATCACCGTTTCTACCAGAAACTCAAGCATGCAGTTTTTCATAGTTCTTTGGGTTTGTTCTCTGCATGAGACCTGTGATTTTTATTTGGGAAAATCATGCAGCTTACTATTCGTTTAGATTAGGGAGGGAAGTTGTATACAATGTTCACATCTTAGAAGACAGCATTTATTGACACCCAGGAAGAAGGAAAAAAAAAAAAAAAAAAGATAATCTGCACACATATCATACCTTAATAAATGGAGAAGAAAATTACTGGTGAAATTAAATGACCAAATAAGCATCTTAAAAATATAACAGTGTGTACAGAAATATGTATGAAGAGATCTGAAGGAACTTACTAATATTTTAACCAGCTGACATGCTATTTACACACCCAGGGTATCATTATGGAAAAAAAAGAAACTATGACTGTACTTCTCTGAAAGGCACGTAAGAGACTTAAAGAAAAGAAAATAACAGTTAACTGTAAAGTTGGTTTTAATTACAAAATTCAGGGACAAACTAATTAAAAAGTAAATATTTGTTAATAAAGGCAAGTCCCTTATTGCACTGTGTACTAAATCCTTTTTGCATAAGGAGCTACAGTTGATGCTTGAAGTTGGATGATCTAGAGACAAATAAGACACAATAGAAAGTGTCAATATAAAGTATCAGTGCTACTGAATCCACTAATTCCATGTGGCAACACAACTACCTAGTTACTTATAGAAGTAAATTAAACTGTTCAATTAGATCACCTGGCTACTCATTATGTTTAAAGCGCTGTCCTTGGAGAAGAGGTGTGTCACGCAACAGTGACAAGACAAAATCTGCTGCATGACTCCCGAGTTCTGAAATCCATGTTTTCAGCCCCTTTGTTGTGATTCTGCTAAGTCTATAATTCTCTACAAAGAATAAAGAGCCTGGTTTATTACAGTTGAATTGGCAGTTCCTGAAACCTTTCAAACTAAAAACAAAGCTGAGTTGCAGTCTGTGCACATCACGGACCCACACTGCCTACTGATGGGAACTACTGGAGAAAGATCCTATGGATCTGAGACAGCAGTGTAAAACAGAGAGTGGAACTGGAGACAGCGCTGCTCCTAATAGGATTCTTAGTGTGATTACTTATCCAAATTAGGATGCCTTTCCTTAACACATTACTTTTACAACCAAGCATCTGTGCATCTGTGGGAAGAAAGCACTTAATCTAAAATGTTCCACATGTGAAATCAACCACAATTGAAAATAAGTATTTCTTCCACATAGCGTAAGGATCTTTTCTTCACCAGAGTAAGCAGAAATTCAAAACACATAAAACTTGCAAATATACCTGGCTAATTTGATTGCGGTACAACATTCTGACACAGGAAGACTATATCCTAAGAAAGACATAGGCCTTTATAGAGGAAATCCTGTCTCCTTTATATGATGTCTAGGACAGTTTTGTCATTGACTTCATCAAAGCCAAGATTTCATCCAATGTGTTTTAAGGGAATCTCTGATTTAGCCAATAGTAGCACAATCAGTAGTTTGTAACGAATAAATAAAACAATAAAAAGGAAACAGTCTCCAAGAAATGTTTCTCCATGAACTCTCACAATTAGCTTTGAATTATAACAATAATGGTTCCAAAGTGTTTCCTCCCAGTGCAAAGCCAGGCAACGGTTTCCTGTGTTAAACTGTTTTTATTGGGTGTCATACTTACAAGAGTACTATGGAGGATTTCATCACGGAACTGCTAATTAGTTTCTCGAGATGTTTACTCCTTCTCACAATACACAGCAATTCCTACTTCACAAGTTTATTTTTTCTAAGTTAACACTTTTAGCTCCCATTAAGCAGTAACATTCCACTGGACTCATTTTAGAAGTATTTCACCCCTCAAAGATGCAAGCAAAGATGAAGCACTGCATTATTTCAGGTGTATAATCAAACACAGCATAATAAAAAATTATGGAAGTACCTTTCTTTCCTGTACTTCCTACACTAAATTAATATCTGTAAACTGAATTAGCCAGACCTTGCTTTCATCTACAGGTGAAATTTCAGTCAAAACTTTCAAATAAGTCTCCTAAGCATCCCATTATAAATAGCTGCACTCTACCTTCACAGTTTATCTCTGTGACTTCATACTCAGCCAGCTCTGTAGAAGCAGCTCCAGTCATGTCACATGGTGCATTCAAGGTCATACTATTTTAATTTGCAGAGGTATCATTGATAAATTATGCGGAAACAATGATAATAGAGTCATTAACCTTGTTCCAGCACACTAAAGATGTTTTATAACTAAAACGAGAATAAAGTTATAAAAACATAAAGATTCGACAGCCCAGCTCTTTCTCTCCTACACACTGCCGCAAAGTACTGTTGGGGATTTTATCCTGGTGAGTAACGTGGCTCTCTGCCGGCTGTGCTTTTAACCAAGAGTGCAGTGACTAGACTGAATTACACTGAAGGAAGAATCAGGTGATTAAATGCACAAAACATTGACCTTTTTTTAAATATAAGAAGTTGGATCCAGAAGGCCTCTCCCTTTGGCAAAGTAAAGGATGCTGGAGCACAGGAAAGATCATTCAAACTAAGAAGTGTCAGTTCAAAGATCTATGCAGAGTTGTCATTTCCAAACATGCAGTCTCTGGCTAGTACTGGAGGACTCACATCAGAAGTGCAGTGTGTTAACATGCTGAAGTATATATATACTACTATATTATACATACATATAACCTAGGTGAGATTCAGAATACATTCTCCAAGTCTCATTCAGGAAACCTGCAGTAATCCACAGACTAAAAGCCTGACTAATGTCCCTAATTCACGTATGACAGACATCTGTATTAAGGGTACACATATTAGTGAATCACTTGGGATTGCTTTGACTTGAAGTGAAATATTTGAAGAATAGTGAGGAGGTGGGACAGACTGACTGATGTATTATACCATCGTAACCTGAAGTTGGCATCAGTGAAGATTAGTATCTACAGCATTTCTGCAAAGAAGAATGTAAATTGTTTAGCAGACAATATACCCTTGTCTTCTTGACATTTCCATTGCTGCTTCTTTTAATCCAGATGCTGCAAGATCTCTCACACTAAAATTGATGAAGAGAGGCAACAGAGATGACCAGAGATGACACCACACTCCAATATAGAATTCATTACACTCCTCTCCACTTATCACGTGAACTATTATCTCTTTGCATCCTCTGACTATGAACATAGGATCCACAACGTACTTCACTACTTACCCAAAAGGACCAACAGGAAAACCACAGAGCATGTCTTTATTAAGGTATTTGACCTTATGTGGGCAAATGGATATATATCTTAAAGCGCATTCTGAAGGCCTGAAAGTCAAACTTCCTATGAATTTTCCCATGTTCAGGTAAAGTAATAACTGGCATATGTTTCAAGCATTCAAAAGTGTCACAAATGCCACTTCAAACAACACACTTTCCATCAAAATGAGGAAGTTAAACCGCAAAATTATGACACAGCAACATGCCTTTATGTCCTCCAAGCAGACTACAGGCGCACACCTCCGATGAATGAGATCAAACCCCTTCCCATTACAGAAACCCCCAAGTTTGGGACGAGCTCGGTGCAGGGCTGAGTCGCGCGCTCGAAGATGCGCACGGAGCCGCACTGAGCCGCCGCAGCGCGCCCGTCCGAGGGCACGCGGTTTCCCAGCGGAGCTCCAGCGCTGCGCTGCGCGGGGCTGCGCAAGCAGCAGCTTCACCGCACGTGCTCACTCGCAGCTACCCCACGTCGGCTGAGTTGGAAGAGGCAGAAACAAACACGAAAACAGCATCTGCTGCACCTACTGACTTTCCTGGAAATGTATGGGAGCTATTCAAGCACTCAAAAATAAATAAGCGCAAACTGGAGAGGCAGAAGAGTTCTTTCCAGAAAGTTTCTCCCCGCCTCTCCCTCCCACTTCTCCCCAGGATCAGGCGACCGTTCCCACGAGGCTCCAGGTGA